GGGGGGGGGGAGGACGACGACGACGACGACGACGACGACGACGGGCCACCTTCCTCGGGGCACCTCCGACTCCGGAATTTCGCTCGTCCTCGTGCGCCGCGGACGTTCACGACAACCGTCGAGCACGCATTGCGGCCGTACACATACTTTTATCTTCTCCCCGCCGTGTCTCGTCCGCCCCGCACGGCCCCGTACGGCTACACACAAATAAAATGTAACGGAAGTACGAGATATCCGTATTCTCGCTCGCCCGATAGCGGCGCACACTGCTGCCAACCTGCTGCCACGAACGGCAAGACGACGACGTCGATGACGACAACGTGATTGCTTACCGCGGCACCGCGATCGCGCTCACGAAGCGTCGACGTGAGCGGAACGCACCATCCGCGGCGAATCTCGACAAACTTCACGACGACGCGCTGGCGGTTTCGCATGAACGTCGCGTCTCTCGCGATCGAAGTCTCGCCTGCTTGACGGAATGCGCGCGACGAACATAACCTCGCGCCGGGCGACTTGAAGTTGGTATCGCGACGTAATCAACTCTGCCTCAAACATCATGCGCTATCTTGTTTGCGGTATAACGCAATAACAGGATTGTGCGCCGGTAATTAGTTATTTCTTTACTTATCATTAATTCTTCAATTACTATTAATTATCATGTTTAAGCAACGGTTAATACGAACCAATTCAATTGGAGAGCCCTTAAGTGACAATTGATTTCAACAAATCCAATTGGAAACTATTCAATTGATGATTAATTTTTACGAATTCGGTGAAAGATTAGTTAACGATTGATATGAAGAAGAAGAAAAATTCCAGAAGATTTTCGGAGAAAATCCAAAATTGTTCAATTAATAATTGAATTTACCAAATCTAATTAAAGGCCGATTAATCGACGATCAATACGAGTAAATTTGATCGATTTAATCAAAGATTATTTGGTGACAATTGATACGATCAGTGTTCTCCTTAACGCTTCCCATTTAGTACTTCCTCAATCATCGGTATCTTCCACGATACTACAATATTTCGGATATAAATATTATTCGCAAAACCAATTATGACCTCTTGAGTAATTGAACACTCTTGAATCGACTGAATTTGTTTATATGGATTATCAATCAAATAATTTTTCATTAATTTTGCCAAGTTCAACTGTCAATTAAATGATCCTTGATTTCTTTCACTGATATTAATCGTCAACTTAACGCTCTTTGATCGATTTCATTGAAATCTATCGTCAGTTAAACATTCTCCGATTGAATTTGCTTGAATCGATCGTCAATCAGTTAAGTAGAAACATATTTGTTCAAATCAGTAGTTAAATTGAGAAAAATTTAATTGATATTTTTATAATTCTGTAACACCGTATGTAAATCTTTTCGTGGAACGGTCTATGTAACACTTTTTATTTAACGCGTTTTGAAATGCACTCGATATCTCTATAAAAGCTCGTCTTCAGAAGATTAGACGATAAAGATTCGAGAACGAATACAGCACGGCAAGATCTCTCGGAATCAATTTAACGCCGTGTACGTCGTGCGATCGGAGACATCGCGCTTCGATGCTGTGCGAGTGCCGCGTCGCTGTTTGAATTTTCGCGCCAACTCCAGCGATCTCTCGATCTCGCGGGACGCGCTCGCGGCACACTTCGCTGTGCTCCTCCGCGACGTGTGTATACACAGCTGCGTTTGTTGACTCTCCTCCTCTGTTTTGACTCGCGTGGGACGCACAGAGACGGTCGTGGCTGTCATCGTCGTGATCGGCGCGAGGTGCGACAGCTTCCGCACGGATCTCGGGACCTCTCAACGAGCCGATCGATGTTTACCGAACACGCAACTGTCTGTCCACGACGAGCTCACGATTCCCAACCGAGGTGCACAGGTAATCAACAGCATTCAAACGCTGCGTATTCTCGATATATGTTTCGCCACGCTTCCTCACACGATTAAACGCGTCGTTCTTCGAAGTTTTTTCGATTTGAAGTCGTTTACTCGATTCCTCGTGGAAATCTCGACGCCGAATCGATGGGTTCTGACAGATAGAGCTAACCTACAATTTTGAAGTATCGCGCATTTTTTTGTCGACGTCAGTCTAACCTGACAGATTTTTACTTATAAGGAACAGCATATTTATGTATTTACTGTTGCACAAAATATTATACACAAGGGAGAATAATAAATAAATAAATAAATTAGCAATTAGTGTAGAGTTTCGAGAATGAAATGAGGGTGACGACCTACTTGTATTTTTTTTTACACTTCTCCGGGAAATAATTGTGTAGATAACAAGATGACGCGTTAATGAATATATCGAGGAAAATTGCTCCTTTCTTTGCGCATTCAATACAGTTCTGCTCTTGCAAGCTAAGATTGACGGAAATAATGAGCCAGTGAGGGAAAGAGATAGAGAATGAGGAGGGAGCCAGAGTGACGGAGACGAGAGAAGTACGTTATGATGGCGAAGCGCTGGGCGTTGCTCTCCGTTACCTGTTGATCGTCTGTGGCACGTTATCTCAGTGCGCAATTGTTGCTGTTTTATTAACGATAATCCGGCCGATCGTCGATGTTATCATGAAACAACACGGTAAGATCGTGACGTCATCGGCGCGAGTGATTGTCTCGTGATGATGTTTGATCTCCTTCTCTCCTTCTTGGACTCTCGCCAAATGTTTTTCCCGCGATCGATCGCGTCGTGTAAATTCGTGCCTCTTATCGCCGATAAAGAGAATGTCGCGTGGGCGATATGTTTCTTGCATATGTAAAGTACTTCTGGTCTCATCGTTCATCAGCAACCAAGTTCGTTTGCTCGTTTGCTCGGTTCTCACATGTCTTCTTTCCCACACTCAAAAACATGTTTGCTGAACAGAGAAGAGATTTTAGATAGAATTCTAAATGTCAGTTAAAATTTACTGCTGTTTTTTTATATCTGCTTTAAAAAATTGTCTGGTACATTGAGTTTACAGCAGCAACATCTGCAATATCTGCAAACAAATTTAAATGGGGGGAGGGGGATGTGAGGATTATACATTTGTTTACTTCTCATCACTGGTCCTTTTTATCTACTACAGTTAATTTTTATAAGAAGTATAATTGACTTTAATCTGGACGGATGCCACAGAGAGAGACTTTATTGCTAAGTTTCACAAATAGTTCAGATAGAAATTCTCTATTATATATATTGATTAAATACAAAACATGTGATATTGCAGTATTTGATAGTCATTTATCTATCTTAGCTAATTTCTCCTATCTTGATAAATTTTCCTATGACTGCAAGATCATCTTTTTGAATAAAATGTCTAAAGGACATCCTACCTGTTTGACACTTCTCTGAAATGTATTTTTAATCAATATGAAACTTGACCAATAAGGACCATTTGCATTGTCAAATATAAAAATTTTGCAACTGATATCTCTTGCGTTTAGCTCTTATTGGCTAAGTTAATATAAGTTTCTTATATTGATTTAATTCTGCTGTGTAGATACATAAAATACTCGTTCTGTCTGGAATATTTAAGAAGTAGTGTGTAACAAAAATTTCATTTCTTACAGTAAGTAATGGGCAAAGGTGAGGAGAGAAACGGCACAACGGCGCAGGCGGGTGAGTCGCCGTTCTTGGCGAAAAGCTCCAGTGAGGCAAGCAAGATGCTGGAAGCTGCTTTACTGCAGATGGATGATATTATTTCTGGTAGGATTCAGATTTGTAGCTGTGTTCAGGCTTTGATGTAGCACTTAAGAATATATGGATTTCTGTCAACAATAAAATTAAGAATAAGATCTACAAATGTGTTTGTCAAATAGTTTGTGTGTGTGTGTGTGTGTGTGTGTGTGTGTGTGTGTGTGTTAGACAGGTGACTCTAAGAGAGAAACCATTACTCAATTTACTATTAGAGGTTCCCACATAAGTAATCAAATATTTACAAGACTTTTACTCTTATCAATTTCTATTTAAACTGTGTCAATTGCTGAACAAAAAAACTAACAGTATTTGCTTAGGGCGTGTGCTATTGAGATAAGGTATTCAACTAGTATCATTAATTTAAAAAGTAAGAGTGCTTTGTCTATAGACTTTTAACCATATACTGAAAAGAAATACTTGATAATTTATTTGTAGGATATAAAGTCTATATTTGTGAAATAAAGTTTATTTTTGTAATATATAATTTATTTCTGTAATATATAATTTATTTCAGCAAAATAAAATTTATTTCTGCGAATAAACTTTATATCTCACAAATTTTTAAGTATTTTTTCTCAGTGTGTGTTCCATTTTTAAACACTTGATTACTTGTAATTACTCTTAATATGAACAAAGTAAGAAATATCGTTTATTTGTAATTATTTTGTCATTATATAATTGAAAGATTTAGTTTCAGGAATATACAAATCTGTCAGGTTCACTTAAAATATTATTCTAGCGTGTTTTAAGTTGAAGCAACTCGACGACTAATCTCGTTCTTGCGTTGAACTTTAATTGACATCTATTACGATCGCTCTCCGTCCCACAGGCATTACGACTTCTCACAAGTATTATGTTTACAGGAGCTTGTGCCGAAAGTTCGGCCGAGGGCAATGCAGAGTGGAAGAATTCTGTGAAGGAGGCTGCGAGAAATCTCGTGGCCGTGATAAAAACCGCACCGACGCCGCCCCCGCCGCCTGACGCAGCTACCGAGGATATCCTTTTGCAGTGGATGCAACCGGTAAGCGGAGTCAAAGTAGGACAAGATGAGGAGAGAAAAAAGCGTCGTCTTTGTTGACGTTGACTTTATTCCGCTCGTGGGCCATCGACTTCCGTTCTTTACAACGCGATTAACGCAACCTAAACGTAAGTTTTGCGATCAGTAGCAGATGCCAACGCGGAAACACGTGTGTGTCCGTCGTGTGCATCCGGGCCGCGGCCGTGTATATCCGGTACGCGCTCTTTCTCTTTCTTTTTCTCATCAGTGCACGTGTTCGCGCGCGTGTTAGATAGCCATACTCTGGTCACGTATGTCCGTGTACATCCGGACGTTTGACTTTGTAATCATTACACCGTGCGCGACAGGCGTGATGCTGATCGATCGAGCAGCTGAAGTCTGCTATGAAAGATTCGTTTTTGGTTTCGATGACTCATCATTTTTTAGGTTTACATTAACCCTTACAATCCAGGAAGCTAATATAGTGACGCGACGGGAATATATTTATCGCGTGTTATATTTTTTATTAGTGTACCTTTTTGTACATATGAAAAAGTTCTAATTTAAAGACTGTAAAACTCATCCAAAAACCGTCCAAATTGTAAGGGTTAGTAATCTTTAGTTAAAACTTGTCTCACGTGAGATACTCAGATTTAAATACACACACACACACACACACACACACACATATAATCGCGATTCACATCTAATTCTGAATTTAAATCTAAATGTCTCATTCGAGATAAGTTACAAGTAATGACTCAATACGACGGGCCTTAGTGACACTGCCCTTTCGAATGATGTGCTATGACAGCCGTGCATTCGTTATCGAGAGATAGACGCGGCAGCGTGCTAGTGCCAAGTATATCCGCGAAAGATGCTACACCGTGTATCTCTTTCTTGACGTGAGATGACCTTTTGGACTAGATTATGATTGGAATTATAGTTTTGTAAAAGGTAAGTATAACATAAAATTAATAATAATTTTGCATAACAAAAAAGTATTAGATACAAATATAGTAAGTTCGTTATGAAAATAGTGATAAAATAATAATTACAACATATTATTCGCTTCGAACTTATCATGTACTTCATAATGAGTACTTCGTACCCAAGCAGCCAGATGAGAGAAAGGGAGAACGGCCTAATGCGATCTAAGCAATGAAAAGAGAGAACACTAATCTATTTATAAATTGCCACTGCGCGTTCTCTCTTTCTCTTTCTTCCCTGTCTGCTTTTCTTCTACTCTCTCTTTCTTTCTCTCTCTCTCTCTCTCTCTCTCTCTCTCTCTCTCTCTCTCTCTCCCGTTCTTCTCGAAGGATTTCGTGACGTTAATTTTAGTTTCAGTGGAGACGATGTCGCGGCTAGCAGCGCGAGAGTGCACCTCGTCAAGATAACACTCGATTGTGTGTGAACGCACTGATATCCGAGCACTAAATGCACTTCGCATCGTATACCGTGTCTATCGATGTCATTACACTGAGTGTCCGTTGTAACGGTGACATTGTCGCGGAAAGTAAGTGACAGAAGTACCAGTTTTACCGGCAAGGATATCTCGATGTTTCTACGCGCGTCTCATTAAACAAATTTGTCACTGAAGCAGACCCAGGTTGGTGATGTTCATTTTACCGAACTCAGAGAGAAAACTAAAGACCGTAAATTAAAAAAACAAAACGCAACATAAAATTATCATGGAGAACATTTGGAACGACGGTATCGTCGGAGAACGGAAGGATCTCGCTCCTATAATGGAAGAGGAAGATAAAGGACAAGCGAAAGGTTTCTCCTTAATTTTTTTTTCCATCTTTTCCATCACTCCACGGCGGTAATACACGGAATTGAAAGAACAAAATTTCGTCGGAGCTAGCGTATTAATTCCAAGTTGATCTCTCGACAGATATATTATGTCAATTAAAAATACACTTGGATTAAATTAATCGTACAAACTAATTCCTCCGTCGTGGAAAGCCAGATTTTAGTTGATACTGACGGCAAAGCAATTATATGTGAGAATTGTATTGCTTTATGATTTATGATCTGCTCGCGAGCAGAGCCATGACACTCAGGCGGCTAGTTTAGTTCAGTTTACGGCATAACTTGGCAGACGTCCGGCAGACTCTCGTGATCGAGAGACTCACCGTGATTCGATACTAAAATCGCGCGGCTGGCCAGTGCACCGTAGTTATGCCTCTGATGGAGGAATAAATGGTCCGCTCGAAATAGATTGCCTTAACCGCAGTGCACGCGGACCGGTTGACCGTCGAAGACACACGTTCATTGACTTAACTTCGCTCAATACGCTGTCGGATTATTGTTTCAGTTTCTGTTAAGATATACATACAATATACACATGCATACACACAGCAAGAAAAAGTTGGAAAAGTTACTTTTTAAAAGTGTCTTGTTTCCATTACTCGTTATCCATTGAAAAAAAAGTAACTTATTAGCATTACTTTTACTCAGAAAGCATATATCGAATACAATTTCCGTTACTTTTTTCATCAAGTTTTACAGATTTCTTTCTTATAATTTGTTACTAAGCGTATCCTGTACAGCGTGCTGTGCTCCCTAAAAACTTAGCCGCCACCGACGCGCTGATAGGAACCTCTTGAACTCCTCGGTATGAAATAAAAAAAGATTGACCATAAATCTAAATCTAGGTTCGCAGTCGGACTCGTCGGACGCAGCCTCGACTATAAAACGTTGGAACAGTCGATGGACGCCCTCGGAGGGCTACGATTCGTCGGGCACGACGTCGAATTCCGAGGAAGGCGACGAATATATCGAGGATTATCCGCGAGACATCGGCGCGGGCCTGTCGGAGCCGATCACGTGCCGAGCGGCTTACCGATCGCAGGAATGTCTGTGTCAGGTAGATCTAAAATAGAGAGTTCCAGCACCGGGAGGTCGCACCAACACACCGACGTTTATACAGACATACACACGTTTTATCATACACACAAAATTCGCCTAGCGAATTATATTTTCGCGCATGTACTCGCTATTCGATTCGCGAGAAAATTACACATGGAACAAGATGAAAGTAAATAATTCTGATAATAGATATTGATATCAGATAAAAAATAAAAAGGGCCAATAAGAACATGTACAAAACAGATTATAATTAATGCATAAGAGAGAGAGAACAAACTGAATTATATATAATATATATCTATTATAAGATTTTATAATTATATATTATAATATAATTTAATAATACTCGTAAAAAATATAATTATTATAATAACTAATTTTATTTTCTATAAACATAATTAATATAATAGAAAAACATTTTAGTCTAGATAATTTAACTTAGATAATATACAGACTAGATTCTTACTGGCTCCTTTTTTAGTTACAAGTGAGATATCTCTCGCCGTGAGATATTGATAATATCGTTGTAGGCTTGCTTGCTCGGGTATGCTAAGATGATAGCGCTTCAAGGGAGTATGCCTAATATCTGTGCAGCGTCCGCCGGTATGCCTAATATCTGTCCGGCGTCTGCTCATCTGGGAAGTTTCCCATCTCTCTGCGTCATGCCGTGCACAAGGTCACTGTTTGTATACATCCTAATTCTTTATATTTTACTGTGTATCTTCAATCGATTCTAGGAGCTTTCATCAATTTCCCTCCTTACAAATCGTTACAGCGTCTCTGGTGAGCTCACGCACCAAGCTATCAAGGAACACGCAAAGAATCTTGGTCACTACCCGCACGTCTGTCACGCGCAACAGAATTTGATGTTTATGAAGGAGCGCGAGATACACGCGGGCAGTAGGACGAACAGTACAACGTCTTTGCCTGTGAGCTCTACGAGTAGATGCGGCGGTTCTTTGGACAGAAGACGGCGCAGACTGCGCAGCAGAGTGGACCGCGATCAAAGGGCCATGTCTCACAATGATTTGATCTGCCATGAGAGAGACAAGCCGCACTATTGTTCGCTCCAGCAATTCCATTACGGAAGCAATATGTGCATGAATAATTGTCATAGTAAAACCGAGGTATACTGTACAGGAGAGCTCTCAAATAAAATCTCTGGCTCTTACGCGCTATACGAACTATGAGTTATTTTCCGATCCCTGCTCGTTGAATAACCAAATCTTTGTGTTATGTAACTTCCTTGAGGTAGTGAGCTTTCTTCATCAACCATATGTTAATGATCAACTTGCTAAATTATTTTTCAGGAGCGGCTGAGAAAGTTGGAAAGTGAACGCGGAGCATTACACATGGAAGTGTCGGTCTTATCGGAACAGGTCGATGCTCAGTCAAATAAAATTCAGGAGCTGGAGGGCATACTTCAAGAGAAGAAAGATTCTCTGAGGCAGATGGAGGAAGCGTTGCAAAAGGTGAGACATCTAAATAGACACTAAGATAGATTTGAATATAAGCTAACTTTACGTTTGCTTGTTTTAAAGGAAGTTTTATCGAGAAGTGCTTTAGAGACGCAAAAGTTGGAACTTCTCACCTCTCTATCCGAAATGAAACTCAGACAAGCTAGTTTGGAGCATGAGAACCTAGCATTACGCAGTGCAAGTCCCTTATCAAATGTTAGTATATATATACACATTATATATTATAAATCCTAATATTAATGTATTATATGCAAATATTGGTACATAATACGTTAAAATTTTAGTAATCGATTAAATTAATATTATACCATCAACTGAAAAGGCGATACTTTATATTTGCAGGGTGAAAGATTCAGCAGACACACTGGTCAATATAGTAGTCTTCCTAGGCCACCAACATCCAAGAAAGGCGTTGTATTTGGTAAGGTTCCAAATTTAGTCTCGGGAGCACATACAACGGTACCCTTGGCTGTTAGGGGAGTCTCTGCGAGATGTCTGTCCGCTCCTATTCTAGGTTCCGATTGATCTTTATCTAAGCATGCGGTGTCACGTTTAAATGTCGTTAATGATGAACACTTCGCAGCAGTATTAATTGGCAGTAACATGCATGTTGTTACGTTTAATCGAGAAGTAACTCGCCTGCAAAACTACTTACGGTTAATTACATTATCTTTATTTAATATTGTATCACTGTGACACATTGTAACACATTGTAACACTATGACTGCTATGGTAGTCACCAATGACCAACACTATAACCGCGTTTTACTAATTTATATATAAAACTTAATTAATTGCGTATAACAACTTAAATATGTAGCAAATAGCTAATGGAACGAGCTAACAATATATGAACGATATAACAATATCGTGAATTGCATTTATCGTATCTTTGATGATTCAAACTTGAATTAAACATTGAAATAATTAGTGGAAATTAGCGTGGCAGTCAACGTGTTAATTATATACACGTAATATTGTAACATTGTTGTTATTACATTAAAAAGACACGTGTAGTTACAAATGAATGCTGTTGCCGCAGCGGAAGAAGAGAAAATCGTGATTGGTGAAGCGAGCGCACAAATGGAATCGCTGCCACCGAAACCACTTGCAGAACTTACTATGGAAGAAATCAGCGACTGGTTAGCCTGTCTCGGTTTAGAATGCTATGCCGGCGAGTTGAGGCGATGGGGTGCCACCGGATCGAAATTACTTGATGCTACGCAGGTTCAACTGGAGAAGGAATTAGACATAAAGAACACTCTGCACAGAAAGAAGTTGCTTTACGCTATAGAATCGGAAAGAAGCAATGGAACCGGTTTCCTCGGTTCTCACAAGGTTGCCGATATGTTATTCTAAAATTATACGTTACATGACGAGCCAAGACTAAGGATATCGGGTGCCGACAGATGGACAGCGCGGCCGTGCTAAGATGGCTGGACGATATTGGATTACCTCAACACAAGGAAGCTTTCCACAACGCAAAGGTTGACGGCAGAGTTCTTCACAGACTGACCACGGAAGATCTATTGAATCTCGGGGTGACCGCGCAGTTACATGCCGCCAGTTTAAGACGTGGAATTCAGGTATTTTACGATACAGAAATTATATTGCATACGTTATGTTGATGTCTGATGTATGAACTATATTATTGAATATTTTGCATTTAGTGATATACGTTCACAAGCATCATCTTTTATGGCAAGCATCCTGTCTTTGTTATTCACTGAACAAGACAGTGAAACAAAAACAGAATTATTAAATGGAAAACACGCATTGTAGATTAAATTATAGATATGTAGCGATATTCGATTTATGGATATAAATTGCAGGTTTTGCGGGACTTAAACTTTGAGTTTGACAATCTGGAGAGAAGATCTGTGAGCGGGAACGGAGCCGACGGTACTAACGTGACTCTCTGGACGAATCATCGCGTAATGGAATGGCTACGAGTGGTGGATCTCGCGGAATACGCTCCGAACATGCGCGGCTCCGGTGTTCACGGTGGTCTGATGATTCACGAGGGACGATTCACTTCCGAGTTGCTCGCGACATTACTTAGCATTCCACCTGCAAAGACTCTGCTTCGTAGACATCTGACAACACATTTCAATCAAATTCTGGGCAGAGAAGTGGTTCAGCATAAAAGAGAGATAGAGAGCACACTCGGCTTTGTTCCACTGACGCTTACTGCTAGACTAAAGGTGCTGTCGCGCGCTTCATTTGTTTTATATTAATACCTTATAATATATCTAATAATCATGTTTCAAGCAGGTACCAAAGAAATCTCAATTCACATTGAAGCGTAAAAAAAGCAAAAACGAGGTGGATTTTGGCAATTTGGTTTGTCCATTGGAGGCATCACCACCAGGTACCCCATCAACACCTTCGTCAACACCAGGCAGCCCTAACTTAAACTCACCCACATTCTAACCACAATTAAAGCTTCATTCGAGTAATCATCTAAACTAACTTGTAAGTCTAACTCTACTAATGATATGAGAACTGCATTACAGATATAAAGTCACACTTCTATATACCAGTTGTATATCGCATCGTCGCACTTTTGATATAATCTCTCTACAAACATCATATGACAATATAATCTTTGCTAAATTGCATTATCATAATTTTATATTTACATTTGGAACGTACAAGAACATTAAAATTACTGATATATCATCATTCAAATTTAAAAATTTCAACTGCTATATCATGATTTCTACATTAATAAGATGCTTGTTGTTAGCACTTTCTCTACTTTATAGGTAAATATATATTTAATCTGTTATAAGTGCTTCTCTCTAGATTACAAAATTATCGAATTACAGACTGTTATAAATTATTTATTTCTAAAATATTACATTTTTGAATATTATTCAGTTAAAAGGTATTGTACTTTTTGTACTTTTCAGACTTGGAGGATACTGGGCAAAGGAAAGTTATAGGTTGCATATGAATGGATGAACTACGAATCAATATATTTAACGACGGTAAAATATATACCGATGGTTGTTTATATATTTGTACTCGAAGTGACGGTACACAAGAAAATGTCAAAAACCTGGGACCAGTTATCCATACTGTAAATTACGCAGCCACTTCTTTGTCAAAACGTACACTTTGAAATAAGCCGCTTATTCGAGAGCTAACTTAAACACCGCCAAAGTCTTATTAATGCTGTAGACTAAGAAATTTGGAATTAACCATTCTAAAGGATAAATATTTTTACTACGAGTCTTTTAAGTATAGGAGGTTATTATAAATTTAAGATAAGATGCTAAATTTATATATTTACTATGTATCTGATTATTCTAAACTTTCGCAACTTTCTAGAATTGTTTTAATAATAAATAAATATATGTACATTTTTTAAAATCAAAATACCCAGTTTTCCGACTTGTTTGGAGATTTTGTATTTGGTCAATTCTTACTTCCTACTTTTTATGCAAAATTCACATCGCGTCCTATGTCTAACGTACTACGTCTGATATCCAATAGGAAAACAGCTTTCTAGTAGGGAATTCAATTCTCCATTAGAAAATTGTTCTCCTATTGGATATCTTACGGCTGAGTTCCCACTTATCGCATCGTCCATCGCATCACGAATTAAACCAATCAAATCGTCCCATTTTATTGCGTATTTTACGACGAAATAGGACGATTTGATTAGTTTAACTCGTGACGGGATTTTACAAATAAAATGAGACGATTTGATTGGTTTAACTCATAATGCGACGTGTGACGCGCTAAATGGGAACTTAGATGTACGTCGGACATTGGACGCAGTGTGAATCCTACTTACTACTAGGCTGCATTCCAAAATTCTACTCGGTGGGTAGAGTACATTTAATTGATCAATCATGATAAAGAAATCCTAGTTATCTTTGTTCTTATTGGTCAATTAAATGTTCTATCCGTCGCGTAGAGTTTTAGAACGCAGTCCTAGAGTCCCTCTACATATTATCATTATAGAATGGGTTTTAAGGAGCGTCTACATTGAAAGTAAGCAATAATGACTCCTGCACACAGAACGCGGTAATGCTTGCCGCGCGGCGAAAGTCCGCGCGACAGCCAATCAATATGTTGTTTTTCTATAAGAGCTAGAAGGTTATTACAGAAAGCAGCATATTGATTGGCTGTCACGCGAACTTCTGCCGCGCGGCAAGCATTACCGCGTCCTGTGTGCAGGAGCCATAAGAAATTGACCAATCATAGTTGATTATTCTTCTCACATTCGACTGTGGTTAGTCAATTTCCTACTTTTCTTCCTACTTCTTATTACGTACTTCCAATGTAGACGTCCCTTTACAGGCTGTGATTGGTTAAACAGTTGTAAGTTTTGTACGCATGCGTACGGAGATCCAGCTAGCGAAGCGTAGCACTGGTTCCGACGGTCTCTCGGTTCTTCTTTGCTGCACCGTCGAGATGGTAAGTGACTTTATACTTCAATATTTCCATGAAATATCCATCGAAATCGAAAACATCCTTGTCGTGTTCATAATTTACTTGCTGTAAATATGTGGTGGAGAATATCATAGATAATTCCTTATAATTATTTTGCATTTATATTCCATCAATTATTTTATAAGATTTTCGTTTCGTGTCAGTTGAATATAACCTTATGTTTACGTCCCCTCTGAGCTTTATCCAAAGAATAATTTTATTATGCTTATTATTGTGGTCTTTTTTATGTATATATCAATTGTATCTTATAATTTCTTCGTAGTCAACACATAAGAAGAAAACTAGAAAGCTTCGTGGACACGTGAGCCACGGTCATGGCCGAATAGGTGAGTACAGGTATATTAAAATTTCATGATCGAAAAATGGTTTCTACCTAAGATTTAAGGCTTCTGGCTCCTCGCATTGTCTATCTTTTTTTAATGACGTCAGAAGCGAGAAAATGCATGCTAAAAATTCTTATGAAATACGTTAAAATAAATATATATATCCGTAAAGTAACACGATCGATTAAACAAATTTGTAAGATATTCCGTGCACTCCCCTTTTGCTCTAACAATCAATAATTTGTTGTAAATTAACGTGACATACAATTCATCTTCTTAACCTATTTCTTCACCTATTTCTATTCAGATTAATTTACAATAAATTATTGATTGTTAGAGCAAAAAGAGTGCACGGAATATCTTATAAATTTGTTTGTTTAATTGATTGTTAGTGTTACTTTAGAGATACATATTTTTATTTTAATGTATTTTTGTGCAAGAATTTTTTTGCATGCATTCTCTCACTTCTGACGTCATTAAAAAGAGTTAAACAATGCAAGGGGCCAGGAGCCTTAATAAAATATCTTCTTGAGATTTGAAAGAAATAATTATAAGATTGATATAATTTGCTTACTTTTTACATTTGTTACTTTATATTGATATTGTTTTTTTTTTCTTAAATATAATTTTTATACAAATACTCCATAGTTTTTGATATAAATATTCTAGTTTTTTCTATATTGCATAGACAAGTTAAAAGTTTACTACATTGCAATATTATATTTTTTAGGGAAGCACAGGAAGCATCCTGGAGGCCGTGGAAATGCTGGTGGTTTGCATCATCATAGAATAAATTTTGATAAATATCATCCTGGTTACTTTGGAAAGGTAATATCTCTTATAGGAAATGTTTTGTATTGCCGGCAGAAACCACATGAGTTTCCATTCCTGTTCTTTATAGCTGCACAAGTTGTATTTTTTATATATATTATTAAATGAATAGATATATATTTACTGAATAACACATGAAAAACTAAAGTTATCCTAATCATATATCGGATAAGAATACTAAATGATGAGAATCAAATATTCACCGGCGAACTGAATTACATTGAATGCACTTTATATTATCTGAATATATACAAAATATATTATTTTATAAAAATTAATATTATTTCTCTAATATTTCCTTTTTTTAATATTTAGTTGGGAATGAGGAATTATCATTTAAGGCGTAATACTAAATGGTGCCCAACTTTAAATCTGGATAAATTATGGACATTAGTGTCGGAACAGACACGATTAAAATATAAAGATGTGGAAGGCAAGGCGCCAGTCATCGACTTGGTAAAAGCGGTGAGTTAGAAATATTATAGCTTTTAATTTATTTTTATTGAATTACCATGACAAATATACGAAATGATATTTTAATGAAAAATTCGTCAACAGTTTTGTTTTTTCTTTTTTCCAGGGGTATTACAAACTGTTAGGCAAAGGTCGCTTGCCAAAACAGCCTGTCATAGTTAAAGCCAAATTTTTTAGCAAATTGGCAGAAGATAAGATAAAAGCGGTTGGCGGCGCATGTGTTTTGTGTGCATAAACATGAAGTAAGTATAAAGTAATACTACTTTTGTTTTTTTTTTCTTTTTTCGTTAAATAATTAATACGATCCTGTAATTGTAATGATGAAAGTCAAACGGGCGGACCGAGAAGTGCGTACAACACTAAGAATAGATCAATCGGTCTATTCATGTGGATTGTTTATTCTGATAAAAACTTGTTATAAAATATTAAACAAAAATGTATTCAATCAAAATCCTAATATATTTGTATTTTGATTTCAGAATGTCAGGATGTCATTTTTTCATATGAAAAATAAATGTATAAAAATGAATGTATTTAAAAGAATTCACAAATTAACATCTTTTTTTAAACATATTACATATTTTCTCTTTTTGTCTTAGATCATACTCCATAATCCTTTACACAGTAATATAATCGCGTGCTGCTCTTGTAGATAAGCTAGATTTTACAAAGTTACATAAAATATTACTGTTTAATCCAGAATCGTTTACGTTTGCTTTTGCCGAGTTCAAATACATTAAGTTCCTTTCTATAATTCAATAATTTCATTTTTTATATTTGTTGATTTATCATTGTATAATAAAGATAAAAATATATTTATAAGATATAGAAGCATCATTACATATTTTCGGTAACTTACAATAGAAAGTATAAAGTTGGATTTTATTTGATAATGTAAACGATTCTGAGTTAATTTCTTTCGAAGTAATTTAATTTTTTGAGGCACTCCTGGGCCTCCTGGGCACTCGCCGCGACCATGTTGGATTGTGATCCAAGAAGCCAGAAAGGCTTGCGGTCCAGAAGCGAGAAATGACACGCTGAAAATTCCTACATGCCATTTCGAAACAAAAAGATATTTATATGAAAGAACACTTGTAAAATGTTCCGAAAATAATCTTTTTTCCTTGATAATCAATAAATAGCCGTAAAATGAACATAGCAAAATCACAAAAGATAGGTTTAAGAGGTTAATTGTCATATTAATTTTACGAGTGATCATTTATTGATTGCCAAGGGAAAAGAATAGTTTTCGAGGCATTTTACAAGCATTGTGTTGTTCTGAAAGTTCATGTGGTTTTTCAGCAGACGGCGTTAAAACTTGTATACTTGTGTCGTGCGTGACTTTAATCTACGACATATTTACATACTCTGAAAGGGTGCCTAATAGCCGTAAATATCTTCGGGAAAGACTGACGGCACGTAAAACTCGAAAAGAAAAAAATACATTACAAAATATTTTAACAATATTTTAACGCGCATTGTTTAAGTATAGGCAGAATCAAATCGATTCAGTTATGTTCGTTCTATATCTATTTGAAAATGGAAAAAAATAAAATGTATTTTTAACACATTGTTATTTTACTTAAAAAAAGGCAATGCCGTTTAAGCAATAAAAAGGATTTATGCCGTTTACGGAGACTATGCAGTAAAGTTAAGGGGATGCTGAAGCTGAAAACTTTACCGACAGAATATTGATATTTTTCTACAAAGTTTACGTCGTATTGGTTACACAGAATTACAAATGCTTTTAATAAAAGTACGTACAAAAATAAATATAAGCATTGCTTGATATGTGACGAAATAAACAAAAAGTTTTTAATGTAAAATCTCAAACTGTCAGCGTAATATTTGCCAAAAGTTCCGCAGCTTGCTCTACCTTCACATCTGTATTTGGAAGCTTAAGAATATCGAAAAAGTTTGCAAAAATATTTCTACACATATATGGTTAGGTTGTTCGTTGAATATGGTAAAACAAAGCAATATACATTTATGTAAGTTCTGTATATACAAGAAATACGAAAAGGAGAGCATGATTATGTTAGTGACGGTCGTCTCTGCATTATCGACATTGTTCGAGTTCGTCATCGTCCAGCATTCCCTTAAATTAAAAGAACTGTTCAGAAGTGGTTTGCTCGCTTTAAACGTGGTGATTTTAACGTCAAAGATCAAGAACGCTTAGGTAGACCCTTAGTGGTAGATAACGACCAAATTGCAGCATTAAAAGTAATCCACACTACATGACACGAAACATCGTGGAGATTCTCCACATATCTAATTCGACTGTTGCACAACACTCGGCTATGTGAATCGCTACGATGTTTGGGTACCTCATAATTTAACGGAAAAAAATTTGCATTTCCATCAGCAAATAGTAGTGGAACAGAACGGCAAATATGTGGTTGATTAAAAAAAAAAAAAATATATATATATATATATATATATATATATATATATATATATAATATGTCTGAATTTTACTTAAAAAACCATACGAATTTTTTTCTGAGCAACTCAATATGTTAAAACGATCAGCAATGTTCACTCATTCATGTTCACACAAATATATTTTTTTAATATAGAAATAGCACATAAGAATTTCAAACAAACTGCTAGAAGCCTTAATAATAAAAAATATAAATGAATAAAATTTTTGTAAAGAAATACATTATATACATAAGATTATTATGTCAGAAATCTCGTCCTGTTAAGTATTTTATGCTAAGTGCGGTGGCGGTGGAGGTATTTGCATTCCAGTAGCCAATAGAGCTGGTGGTGGTGGGACTGGATTGAACATCGGTGGTCTAGGTGGAGGCGGTGGAACAGGCACCATTGGACCCAGTCCTGGTCGGATCAAGGGAACTGGTGGTGGAGGTACTTTACCTACAGGTTTCTCATTCTTAAATGCAAACTGTAGAAAAAATTGCTTCGTATCTTTGTTCCAGTGAGTCCAAAATTTGCCTTCTGCCTTCTCTACTTCTCTACTAGGCACCTATAAATTGTTAAACAAACCATAAATAAAAAGAAACTTTTGGTGAAATAAGATAAATATAACAAACTTAATCATTTGGAGAAGAAATATACATAATATACATAATATATGATATTGTTTTCAAATAAAGTACTAAAAAACGAAGTACATACATGTATATTTGGTATTTAATGAAAAGAGAAAAGAAAATCGAAAGATTATAAGATAGTACAGAAGTAACAGCTATAAAGAATAGGTATCATTCACGTGCTACAGGAAATTTTGTAAAGTACTAAGTAATGAGAATTAAATATTCATTGATGAACTGAATTGAATATTACATATGAATGTACTTTGTATTATCTGAATATATGCAGAATGTATCATTTTATGAGAAGTATTGTTATCCCTCTAATGTTAATCTTTATAGCTGGAAATGAGGAATTATTATTTAAGACATAATAGTTTGAGATATTTTAAGTGTGAGAGTATTTAAAATAAAATGAGATATATGATAAAAGAAATTTTAAAGTTGCATATGCTATAGTGATTCATGAATGTAATTGTATTTTAAAATTTATGAGATATTGGTAGTTCTAATATGAGAGTGAAATGTTTTCTTACCTTAAAGGCAATGGTTTCATATGGCTCAGCAGCAAACAGCAGGTACTGCCACTTACGATCTGGTGGCTCAACTCTCTGTTCATAGGCTGACATAAATCTGTGTCGTGGGATCACATTGTCAGCTACTTCTGGATAATCTACTTGAAATAGTAAACTTTGCTGACCAGATTCCGGGTCACGCTGTTTAGTCACTCTGTAGCCAGGTCGTCCGATCTTCACAAATTTTTTGGGTTCTACCCTGGGTTTTTCTGGTGCCAAGGTTTGCGGTGCTTCCTTTGCTTCCTTTGCAGCTCGTCTAGCCAGATTGGCCTGATGCTTCTTACCCTGAGTGTGCGCCAGATAACTACCTTCATTATTGTGCAAGGTGAGACATAGTTTACACTCGTAAGAGCCCAAGTGATTCTTCATAAAATATGGGTCTTTGTTCAAGTCGATAGTCTCCAGAGCGAGCTGGCGCAGCCTCTCTCGACGGTCGCGATTGCTTTCCGACCAGGAGGCGACGCCGCCGCCACCGGTTTTGCCGCCCGGACGATTTTGGAAATCCATCTTGGATTTTTCGTCGCTTCACCGGACGTTCACACACCTTCGAATGCTCCACTGTAAGAAGTATAGTTTCGATTAGGAAAGATAGAAATTCATGATTCGTAAATATAAATAGTATACAATAATTATAAATAATACATGTAAGAACACAAATAATACAATGTGCATACATAGGTTACGTCTCCGCACGTTACAATTACGTTTCTTCTTCTTGTTCTACAGTCGCCTTCAGAGTACAAGATCATACACACGTATTCTTTTTCTTATTATTCTTCCCTTGTAACAGTTAGTTTTTAATATTCCATTTCATTTTCCATTTAATATTAAAAAATCACATCGTAACCTCCATAAATTCACAATAATTTATGGCTCTCTTTCTCTGTTTCTCTCTCTCTCGATATAGTTTCAGGCGGCCAAAGGCGTACCCCCAACACCACTCAACAATAGTTTATGGCTGTGTTTCAAAATTAATGGGTGTGTTCAGGAGACACAACGGTTATACAACGGTTGAGTAAAGCTAGCGGCATACAATGCTTGTTTTCATGGCGCAACACAATTTTAGATGCAAATAATTTTTCAGATGAAGAATTTACTGTACCTGCGTTAATGTATGTATGTCAATTGTCTGCAGAACCTATCTGGGATATTGCCACCTTCATTCTTTTTAATTTCTGCAAAATTTATCTCTTCCATCTTCATAGATCTGTTCTTTTCATCTGAAATACTTGCACTGGTACAGTAACTTTTATGGTCTGTTCTTTTCAGGTGCACTGCTGAACTGGTGCAATAAGTTAAAATGAGATAAGTATATGTTTTCTCACTCTAACTTATTGCACCAAGGGGTCGATTGTGTATCTCAACACGGAGTAAAAATGACAAAAGTGAGCAAATTTACTATAATATTTGTAACTACATTGGTCATTGCCTAGTGAATTTGCTCACTTTTGTAATTTTCACTCCGTTTCGAGATACACAATCGACTCCCAGTTCAGAGAGTCAATTCTGTATCTCGAAACAAAGTGAAAATTACAAAAGCGAGCACATTCACTAGGCACTGACCAATGAAATTACGAATATTCTAGTATATTTGCTCACTTTTGTAATTTTCATTTCGTTTCGATACAGAATTGACTCCCAGGGCAGCGATCATGTAACTTTTTCCCTAGGGCGGAAACGTGAAAAGTGAAAAGTTTCACGTGAACTCGTGAACACTAAACTCGGCGAAGCGTAGAAACGTGAAACTTTTCACGTGAACTTGTTAGCCATGAAATGTGCTGGCGGAAAAGTGAAAATCTAGTGACATGATGAATACGGAATATATTATGCTACTGCTGTGATGAGATATAGGAAACATAACAATCCTAAGGTTATAGCAATGTTTTTAAGGTTATATGTTCTACAGCCGATGGATACAGCTGATTTGGCGGATATTGAAATCATATAGGAATTATGTTTAGTGATTTGTGCTTTCACGCATAGAGCTTGATTGCGTGAACAATGAAAAAGTTCACGTGAAATCGATAGAGCGAAAAGTGAAATGTTCCGCTCCAAGTTGATCGCTGCCGGGTGGGACCCGATTGACTACGATACGATTGAACACAGATTGTAATGATTGGTTCGACCTAGTAATTCACTAGATAATTCTTTTTATCGGTTTATTGTGTTCAATCGGGACGCTCCCATCGCTGCCCAGCAGTGCAGCTGAAAAGAACAGACCATTACCCTTGCACTGCACTGCACTGCTTGCACTAGCTCCAGACTCAGTGCAAGCAGTTCAGTAAACTGTTGCTCTAAGTTCTGCTGCACCGTTGGAAAGAACAGTAACCTCTGACGTCACTTCTGCTAGAAAGAACACACCAGTGTACATTTCTTAAACTAGTGCAAGAAGTTCAGCTGAAAAGAACAAACTTTATATTTGTGGTTCTCTAATATGTCTAGTTCATTTTGAGTAATGGCGTAGGGTCACTAATGGTTAGGTATACTTAGCCAATTATTGAAATCTGAATATTGAAATATGTCCAGTATTTTGGCATGTATGTAAAAATTAACGAATATCAAGCATTGAATTGGCAAAAGTATAGGTTTACTACTATACGTGAGTTCACAATATGTCATCGAAATACTAGGATTCGCCACTTAGCCCTTCGAGGCGCTCTTCATGTTGATTACAGCGTGAGAATGCCAACTGGCAGTCCATACTTATATAGTCAAAGAATGTACTCTATCCACTGAGTAGAATTTTGGAACGCAGTCCTGGAGATTAATGGCGCGATTAATGAACGATGACGCGGAAGTCTCTGAGGACTCTAGTTCCGTCATGAACATTAAAATTACTAACGTTACTTCACTACCGCCAGAAGTATTCGCGAACGTGCCTGATGTAGATCTCGAAGAGAACGTCACGTGGTTACAGTCGGACACCGGTGACACGTCTTCTGCCGAAATCAAGTGAAAATTGGAGAAAGTGAATTTAATTTGTTTATTAAAACATACATATTACACCGCTGGATCATCTCCTTTAGTAGTACGTGTGTATATAAGTTGTGCATGATGTTGTACAACTTGCTTAATAAGACCTTTCTGCTGAAGTTCAATCAGAGCCCTCCTGGCAAGAGACCCCCTGATCTTCAATCTTTCGCTGACAATGGAGGGTGTGATCAATTTGTATTGTGGAACCTCCTTCAACAGCTTTTCATACGTGGATTTGTCAAAGAGTACTTGATTATTTAACTTATCACGTACTTTTCCCTTGGACCACTTCTGCAAGTATAGTAAAGACAATATGTTAAAACCAATACTAACATTACATAGGCAACATTAAAGATATGGAATTTAAATCTCATCAGACTCATTAAATCAGTTTATGCCTCCATGATTGGTCAAGTTGATAAGTGCACAACAATTGAGATCTATTTCATCAAATTATCTAATATAATTATCATGATTATAATAAAGTAACAACCTTCTTCTTAGCTTTACCACCTGATCCACCTTCCTTCTTCTTCTGAGTTTTCTGCGGTTGCTTAGAGGAGCTCTTAGTATCCTTTTTAGGAGGCTGCAATAATAGATGTAAAACAATGATTATGAATAAAAGAAAGAATACATATATGTTTTAGAGTTGTGAAAATTAACTTTTAATTATTTGAAACTTATATAAAAAAAAAAATACTAAAAAAAATATTAATAAACAGTTGTTACGATTAACTCAGAACACTATGGATACACTAAAAGATAAGTTATATTCTTGTCAACTTAAAAAATTCGTTATTAATTGTATTTTATGCGATGGTTACTCTCTACTATCAAGATAAACGCAATTAATATTTTCTCTACAAGCAAAACTAAATTAAAGCGATTATATTCGATGGATTGAATATAACACGTGGATTACACAAAGGCCTCATCGCCTTATCGTGAACAAAGTAAGCCGAATGTATTGCAATTTTGATGTACCATTTTACGAGAATCTGTATTTTTTGCGAAATATGTACGGATTTATCGTGAAATCGTGAGAGGTAGCCTTGAAAACCACAGTTTATACGTAAATGCTCACCATGATGGCTGATGAAAGTAAAGAGCAACAAAGAAGTTAAGCGACCGTAGCCTACTGCCGCTGCAATCCCACTTCCGCTTAATGCAGAATGTGTCGCGCGCATGCCCCAACGTGCTCCTACTCGCTCCAACGCACTCTGATTGGTCACGTCATCATGCGGACATTCTCTTAGCGGACGTTCTCTTATCGGGCGTCGTACGTCGGACATTGACGCGGTGTGAAATATGTTGTTTTTCCGTAAAAGCTTATTACGGAAGAAGATTATTACGGAAAGCAGCATACATTTCTTGAACTAGTGCAAGAAGTTCAGCTGGAAAGAACAAACTTTGTATTTGTGGTTCTCTAATATGTCCAGTTCATTTTGAGCAATGGCGTAGGGTCATTAATGGTTAGATGTACTCAGCCAATTATTGAAATCTGAATATTGAAATATGTCCAGTTCTTTGAGATGTATGTAAAAATTAACGAATATCAAGCATTGAATTGGCAAAAGTATAGGTTTGCTACTATACGTGAGTTTACAATATGTCATCGAAATACTAGGATTCGCCACTTAGCCCTTCGAGGCGCTCTTCATGTTGATTACAGCGTGAGAATGCCAACTGGCAGTCCATACTTATATAGTCAAAGAATGTACTCTATCCACTGAGTAGAATTTTGGAACGCAGTCCTGGAGATTAATGGCGCGATTAATGAACGATGACGCGGAAGTCTCTGAGGACTCTAGTTCCGTCATGAACATTAAAATTACTAACGTTACTTCACTACCGCCAGAAGTATTCGCG